CTAGTTACGTATTGCTCATTAGTGACCCCCTGTCTGGCAGTATACTGATAACATTGTTTCCTTAAAATTGCTAGAATGTATGAACCATGGGACTGGTGAATCTAAATGGATCCAAACTACACCTATACACATGAAGATATTTGGACTAGACCATCTATACAAAGTTGAGACACAGCACTTCCTTCCACTCTGGCGGACAGTTCTCTTCGATATCACAATACCGACATATCCGCCGAAAAAATTAATTATAAAAAGTATTTATCTCTACCACACTGCCAAAGTGGGAGCTCTTGAACACATACACACTCTACAGACTGATAATAACATCACACAGACCATCTACACTGATGGATCTCTTAACACCGCCTGTGGGAGGACTGAAAGCGCTATTGTTGTGACTCAACCTGACGGTAATATAATTGAGAAAGGAGTTTGAATTAACAACTGCGGATCCACTCTGCAAACTGAATTAGTTGCCATACTCAGCTATTAAATTAATTGAAACAACTGTCACTGACGGTCTCATCATCACTGACTCTCTATTCTCACTACTTGCCCTTGACACCCTCAACTCAAGTTGTCACTTTCTTGTCTCTGAAGCTGACACAAATATGCGTACCTTGTTGACCGGTGTGTCAAGGTCAAACTGTTGTGGATCCCCTCTCACATAGGCCTCATAAAACAATGACAGAGTTGATACTCTCGCCAAACTCGCGTCTATCAAAGACACCGTTGAATACAATATGGGTCTATCAAAATGAACCCTTAAAACTGTAATGAGGAAAGAACCTATTGATGAATTTAATGCAAGCATACAAGTGCAAACTAGTCGATCCATAGTTTACCATGATGAGATGTATCAAGTGAAACATGTATATGGTGGAAGTAACAAGATCACTAGATTACAAGATGTTGTAACCGCTAGATTTAGGTTAGGATATAAGTACATCTGGCATTATGTTCCTCTAGCAGATGTAAACAAGACTAAATGTAAAGTGTGTGGCCAAACATATGGCCACACACTTGAACACAACGTCCTCGACTGTGTGAATATAGAACTTCTTAGGGACAAGCACACTGTGTGTGAACTGGCACAACACTTCATCTCTAATGGCAAGATAGCCGAAATATTAAGATTGTATCCACTTTTTTGCACGTAGTAACTATATCAGTTCCCATGTATAGAACCAAACACACTTTGTCCTTGAATACTTCTCAGGCAAATGTGAATAACAAAGTGTGCGGCCAGACATACTGCCTCACACGCCTGTACTCACCCTTTTGTGAATAAGGTACCCTTTATGTATAGAACTAAACAAATAATGTAATTGAAATACTGTGTAACATTCAGTGCCATAATATCCTGACCACGAGGGTTAATTATTATGACCCGGTGTAAACTCTACTCTGTAATCCTTTTGCGCTACCGCTCACAGGATGAGTATGGGGTGTACCATAAAGTAGCCGCTGTAAGCGACAAAATCAATCAATCCATCTCCACACCCTCCCCCACGCCCTCCATAGCCACCCCTCCCCCCACGCCCTCCACCACCCCTCCTCCACGCCCTCCATACCCACCTCCTCCACCCCCTCCACGCCCTCCCACCACGTCCACCATAGCCACACCGCTCCATGTCCTCCATACTTACATCCCTCCACGCCCTCCATACTCACACCCTTCCTCCACACCCTACATACCCACATCCCTCCTCCACGCCCGCCATACCCACACCCCTCCTCCACGCCCTCTATACAGGGGCCCTCCCAGTTGCGGTGGTGACCCAGGGACCCTCACAGGGGCGGCGGTGACTCCAGGGACCCACTCAAGGGCGGCTGCGACCTCAGGGGCCATCCCAAAGGCGGCGGCGCTCCCAGAGGCCCTCCCAAAGGCAAGGGAATCCCCAGGGGACCTCCCAGAGGCGGTGGTGCCTTCAGGGGCAACGGCGCCCCAAGGGGTTCTCCTTAGGGGCAGCGGCGCCCCCAGTGGCTTTTTCAGGGACGGCAGTGCCCCCAGAGGACCTCACAGGGTCAGTAGCGCCCCCAGGGCCCCTCCCAGAGACAGAGCCCCCCAGTGGTTGTCCTTAGGGGCAGCGACGCCTCCAGGGACAATCCCAGAGGCGGTGGCGCACCCAGGGGTCCTCCGAGGGTCAATGGCGCCTCCAAGGACCCTCCAGGGGTTCTCCTTTGCAACAGCGGTGACCCAGAGGCGGTGACAACCCCAGGACCTCTTGCAGGAGCAGGGTGCTCCCAGGGAACCTCTCAGGGTTTGTGGTGCCTCCAGGAGACAAGTTCATTGACTGTGGCGGCCACAGGGACCCTCGCAGGGGCCCTGCCAAGGGCGGTGGCGCCCCCAAGGACCCTTCCAAGGGCGGTGGCGCCCCCAGGATCCCTCACAGAATCGGCAGCGACCGCAGGGCCCCCCCAAAGGCTGCATGGCCCCCAGGGGCCCTCAAGGGGCGATGGTGCCACCAGAGGCCCTGCCAGGGACGGAGGAACTACCAGCGGCCGTTCCAAGTGCGGCAGCCCTTCCAGGGGCGGTGGCCCCTCCAGAGGCTCTCCAAGAGACCCTCGATGGGGCGGTGGTGTCCCCAGGGGCTCTCCAGGGGCGGCAGCATCGGCAGGGGCCATACCAGGGTCAACAGCGACCCCTGGGGCTCTTCCAGGGGTGGTGGCGACCCCAGGGACTTGCCAAGGGTCGGTGATGACCTCAACTGCCCTCCCAGGGGCGGCGGCGAACCCAGGAGCCTTCTTAGGGGTTGCCACCGATCCTGGGGGGCTTCTCGGGGTGCCATCAACTCTGGAAGGGCCCCTGCGGGCGGCGACACCCCTGGAAAGGCCCGTGGTGGTGTCTCCGTCCCTGGAACGGTTCCTGGATGTTCCACCGTCCCTGGGAGGGCCAAAGAGAGTGCAAATGCTCCTGGGAAGTACCCAGGGGGATGCCACCCCCCTGCAAGACCACTGGGGGTGCCATCCCCCGGTAGAGACCACAGCGGAGCCACAGCCTCTGAGAGTTCCCTGTGGAGCCAACGCCCCTGGGAGGATTCCTGGGCGTATCACCGTCCCTCGGAGGGCCCCTGGGAATGTCACCCCCCTTGGGAGGGTCCTTGGGGGTGCCACCGCCCCTGGCAAGGCCCCTGAGAGAGCCCATGTGGGTGCCACCGCCCCTGAGAGGGCCCCTGAGGGCATCACGGCCCCTGGGGTTGCCACAGCCAGTGGTAGGGCCCCTGGATGATCCTCTGGGGATGCCACAGACTGTGGGAGGGCCACAGGGTGCTACCACCCCTGGCAGGGCCCCTTTAGATGCCACTGCCTATGGAAGTGCCAACGCCACTGGCAGGGCCTCTTGGGACATCTGAAACTGCCACCGCCCCTGGGAGGGCAGCTGGGGGAATCTGCGGACCTGAGAGGAGAACTGGGACGACCCCTAGGAGTGCCACCACCGCTGGCAGGGCCCCTGGGGTTGTCACCACCCCTGGAAGGACCCTGAGGGTGCCAACACTCGTGGGACGGCCCCTGAGGGAGCCACCGCCCCTAGCTGATTCTCTGGGGGTGCCCCTGAAAGTGCCATAGACCCTGGATAGCCCCGTAAGGAGGCCACCGACCTTGGGAGTGACCCTGCGGGTATTAGCACCACCTGAGAGGGCCCCCAGGGTGCCACTGCCCCTGGAAGGGCCTCTGAGGGCCCTAGGGGTGCCACCGCATCTGGGAGGGCCCCTGGAAGAGCCACCGCACCTGGGAGGGCCCCTGGGGTTCCACCACACCTGGCGCAGGCGCCCCTAAGAGGGCCTTTGAAAGACTCTAGGGGTCCTAAAGGGCGCCGGTTCCCCAGAGAGGGCCCCTATAAGTACCACTGCCTCTGAGAGGGCCCCTGGGGTTTCTACTGCACCTGGGAGGCCCCTGAGGGCGCCAATGCTCCTGGCCGGGCCGTTGGGAGTACCACCGCCTCTGGAAAGGCCCCTCGGGGTGTCACCGACCCTGGGAGGGCCCTTAGGGATTCCACCGCCCTGGAAGGACCCTAGGGATGCCAACTCCCCTGGGAGGGCCCCCAGGGTGCCACTGCTCCTGGCAGGACCCCCTGGGTGTATCACAAACCCTGGGAGGGTCCCTGGGGCTGCCACCGCCCCTCGGAAGGCTCCTGAGGGCGCCGGCGCCTTTCAGAAGACCCTGGGGGTGTCACCGCCCCTCAGAGGGCCCCTAGTAGAGCCACCGCCCATGGCAAAGCCTCTGGAGGTGCCACTGCCACAGGAAAGGCCCCTGGGAGGACCCCTGGGGGTGCCACTGCCTCTGGGATGGCGCCTGATGGTGCCACCGCCCCTTAGAGGCCCCTGGGGGTGCTAACGCCTCGGGTAGGGCTCCTGGGGCTGCCACCGTCCCTGGGAGGGCCCGTGAGACCGCCACCACCCCTAGCAGGGCCCCTGAAGGTGCCACCTCCATTGGCACGGCCCCACGGGCGCAATACCAAACCTGGGAGGGCCCCTGTTGGCCCTGCTGCCTCTAGGAGGGCTTCTGGGGCGATTCTGTCCCTGCAAAGCCACCAGGGGTGACGCTGCCCTTGAGAGGGTTCCTGGGGCCACTGCTACCCCTGGAACGAACCCTGGTGGCGCCGCCGCCCTTGGAAGGGCCTCTGAGGGCGCCACCGCCCCTGGGAGGGGCTCTGAGACCGTCACCGCCCGTGGTGCTGCCTCCTCTATTGGCAGAGCCCCTGCGTGTGCCACTGGGGCACAAACCCCCCTGAAAGGGCCCCTGGGGGCGCCGCCGCCTCTTGGAAGGCCACCGCCCCTGGAAAGACCCCTGGTATCTCCGCTGCCCCTGGGAGGGACCCTGGGGTCGCCGGTGGGAGGGCCGTTGGGGGTGCCACCGCCCCTGGAAGGACCCCGGGGGTGCCACCGCTCCTCGTAGGGAGCCTAGTGGTGCCCCCGCCCCTGATAGGAAACCTGGGGGTGCTACCGCTCCTGGTAGGGCCCCTGAGGGGTGTCACCTCCTCTGGGAGGGCCCCTGAGACCGCCACCATCCCTGGCAGGGCCCCTAGGGCTGCCACCTCCATTGACAGGGCCCCCGGGTGTGCCCCTAGGGCACAAATCCCCCTGGGAGGCCCCCTGCAGGCGCCGCTGCTCCTGGGACGAACCCTGGAGGCGCCACCGCCCCTGGGAGGGTTCCTGAGACCACCATCGCACCTGGCAGGGCCCCTGAGGGTGCAACCTCCATTGGCAGGGCCCCTGCGCGTACCCCTGGAGCGCACTCCTTCCTTGTAGGGCCCCTGGGAGCGCCGCCGGCTCTGGCAGGGACCCTGGGGTCCCCGCTGCCTCTGGGGTCGCCGATGGGAGAGCCCCTAGGGGTGCCACCGACCCTGGAAGGAACTTGGGGATGCTAACACTCCTGGAAGGGCCCCTGGGAGTGCCATTGCTCCTGGAAGGGCCTCCTGGGTGTGCCACAAACACTGGGAGGGTCTCTGAGGATGCCACCGCCCGTTGGAGGGCCCTCGGAGGCTTTCGACAGAGTACCCCACGAAAGGCTGAAAATCAAACTGGAAGGGTACGGAATTTGGGGATAGAAGACTTTCTACATGACAGCAAGCAGTGTGTGGTGATTAGAGGCACGAAATCATCATCTGTACCTGTCACAAGCGGGGTACCACAGGGCAGTGTATTGGGCTCGCTGTTGTTTGTTTGTTTCATAAATGACATGCCTGACGTTGTACACTCCTCCATACAAACGTTTGCCGATAACGCCAAGTTATTTCGGGAAATCAAGAACCGTGCAGACTGTGAAGAGCTGCAGAAGGATCTCTGTGAGCTCCAAGAATGGTCGAAGAAATGTCTGCTGAGATTCATTGTCACGAAGTGTAAGAGGATGCACCTGGGGTGTACCAACGGTAAGGAGGCGTATCATATGTCCCAATGGGATAAAGAAACTGCACTATTTGAGACTGGATGTGAGAAGGACCTAGGTGTGTATGTTGACAATGAGCTGAAGTTCTCGTATAAGGGCGGGGGTTTTCTTCTTATCCCTTATATTCTTATTTCATACTTATTTCTTTGTCTTATTTCCTTCATTTCTTCTGTCTAATTATTTCATTTCATATAGTTACTTCGTAACCTCTGACCTTTGGTAGCATGGCGAGGGTTAGGGCACATGGGTTCTGTAATTCTGGTATCAAGTTATTGGACAAGAATAAAGGCAGATACTAGGGGAAAATGATACCCCTAATATACTCTAAACATGGTTTATTAATATGAAATTAAATTTGGTTAAAGGTGTCATTAACATACAACTACAAGGTTTAACTCCTTGGCGTTACTCATCTGCAATTCTAATTAGACACTCTTGCTTCGTACATCATTACTGGTTGTACATTTAAGAGAACACACCACATGACAAGTTTACATATGGTACCTTCACTACAACTGTTGGTAGTACATGTGGAGGATGCACTCACATCACATAACACGTTATTACTGGTACTATCAAGTTTTATGGGTTCACTACTCAACATGAGATAATTATATTTCCGCTAATTATCCCCCATCACATATAGCAATAATACTGTGGCCCATATAACTGTAAGGGGTGTCCCAGGGTATAACACTGGGGTCTCCACACAAATGAAGATCGCTGTTATGGTCGGTTGTAGTCTGACACCCGGCGAGAGCCTGGGGTCTAGTTCCCAGGATGCGGACTTGAGCAGTTTAATCCTGCCGAATTAACGACATCGTCCAATACAGCTAACTATTAGGTAGCTACAAATCCCCAGCAGCCGGTGGGGTATTCAGCTAACACACACACTGTGCCTGAGATAATGTTGGAGAACGTCAGGGAGAAGTAGTGAAAATAACTCAATCACAAACAATCTTTCGTCTACCAACAACACACGACATTTACGGTATAGTAATTCTTACACTGGGTAAATGACAATTTCACTGTTACAACATGAACACTGATGTTCACAAAATTCACTGAGTTAAACTGACTCAACATGGCGTTCGGGGAATCTTACACATACCTGAGATAACGTTGGAGAACGTCAGGGAGAAGTGACGTCTCTCCTGCGCAGGAGCTTATATACGGCTAACTGGTAACTCAACAAATGCCAGAAATGGCTACTCACGCAATGACAGAAATTATATTTACCTCAATTGCTGTACATTTAAATATGAAACTCAGTTGCCACAGGTCAGACGAAATCGTCATCCGTACTTGTCACAAGTGGGGTACCACAGGGCAGTGTATTGGGCCCGCTGTTGTTTGTTTGTTTTATAAATGACATGCCTGACGTTGTACACTCCTCCATACAAATGTTTGCCGATTATGCCAAGTTATTTCGGGAAATCAAGAACCAAGCAGACTGTGAAGAGCTGTAGAAGGACCTCTGTGGGCTCCAAGAATGGTCGAAGAAATGGCTGCAGAGATTCAATGTCACGAAGTGTAAGGGGATGCACCCGGGGCGTACCAACCGTAAGGAGGCGTATCATATGTCCCAATGGGATAAAGAAACTGCACTCTTTGAGACTGGATGTGAGAAGGACCTGGGTGTTTATGTTGACAATGAGCTGAAGTTCTCGGGCCATTGCAAGAAGAAGGTAAATCAGGCAAATAAATTATTGGGTCTTATAAGAAGGTTGTGGGGTATGGTGTTGTTTGGTTCACACTCAGGATGGGATGGAGAAAGGAAACTCACAATGTGCTCTCTATATACATGTTGTATTGGATGTACAATGCAGCTTGGTGCTGGGAAGGCAGCATGGTTACAAGCGTGATGTAGAGAGAGCTGGTTGGTGAGGACGCTCAGAGAAGGACAGCTTGTGGGTCGCCATGCTCGCCAGCGGGAGAGAGGACCGCCAGGCAGGCGGAGGAGCGAGGACCGCCAGGCAGGCGGAGGTGTTGCTGGCTGGTTGGTGTAGGTAGAAAGAGAGACAGATCACCACGAGGTCAGGTCTTAAATAGCGGGGGTAGGCGTGGCTTAGCAGTTGACCCCCGCTCCGTGGTGTATGGCGGCGCTGGTTGACCTAGACCACGAGGCATACACTGGGGAATTGGTGGGGTCGGCTAGGCAGCGACAAACAGCGTTTGTAGGGGAGAATTCCACTACAATACTCCCCCTTCCCTCCAGGCTGTGTAGGAGACTTGTTGTCTGCAGGGTTGCATAGCACATGTGAGGCAGAACGGGCGGTGCGTGCCTCATGTGAGACAACGGCGATGGCGTGGATGAGCCGGGCGCTGGAGACAACTGTCTAGATACACAATATCTGTGGGAGTAGAGAGGGAGAATAAGGGTGTGTGGAGGCGATGAATTTTGTGCTTCCTTCACGGCAGGTACGGAGTCGTCAGATGCGCCTGCTGGGGTGTGTGGGCCTGGGTCAGGAGCAGGGGCTGCGTCAGCAGAAACGGATGAGGGCTCGTGACAGCAGCTGGGTCCACGACAGCAGCAGGGTGCAGGACATTAGCAGGGAGTACCTGGGGGAGAAAAGAGGGGTGTGTGTGTCCGCACTCAGGAACAGAGGCCGCATCAAGGGCGGCAGGGGTTACTGCTGGGCCGGGGTCGGCGTCTGAGGCAGGACGGGTGTGCTGGGGTCGGTAGGACGTGGTGCTTAGGGCAGGAAGAGGAGCTGGTGTCTGCTTAGAGTAGCAGAGCTGCTCTAGGGTGTCTAACCTGCGGTGTAGAGACAGTAGCTGTAGAGCCGATGAGAGCTGCTTCTGGGTGGATAAGCCAGTCTTCCATGTTGCTTGAAGACTGGGAGCGTGATCAGTTTCTCCTCCATCCTGTGTGAGTGCGAATCTCCGGGAGTCACCATTTGTGGGGTATGGTGTTGTTTGGTTCACACTCAGGATGGGATGGAGAAAGGAAACTCACAATGTGCTCTCTATATACTGTACTGCGCACATCATTGTCATCCCTAAAAATCCCATCTAATTCATATTACGCTACATAACATTCAAATGCACAACGCTTGTGGAACCCCAGAAAACGGGAAACATTGAGAAAGGACAACTCCCCTACTCAAGGTTCCTAGACCATGTGTGGTATTGTACCCAGGTATAATTATATCATATCAAGTGTATGTATTCATAGCCTTAAGGATCACTCAGGGTAGGCATAAGATGAATGTTAAAGTCCAGTTGAGCCGGACTAGGGTACTGTAAGACTAAGTGTGGAGCAGGGTTTGAAGGTCCTACTATTTACGTCTGTGAGCGTGTAGCGAACCTAACTCCAACAGATATCATATGAAAATACATGAGAACAATGATCGGGAAAAAGGGATAAATGTATTAGAACTATGTGAGGTGTTGACAGTGATCTAGAAACTATACTGGAAAGGAAATATCGTGTATGCGTCGGTATGAATTTAATACACCTCGTAGCCTCACGTGACATATACCCACGACAGGTACAGTGATCAGAGAATCTGAGGTCTGTGTTCAAATAGTGCGCTGTGTGAGAGGAGGATCCCTCATTACAGTTTTTAAGTGAAGTTGATACACCCCCGCCATGATCATTCGGCTTTTGTTTCAAGGCGCGTCATGTACCCGCCTCAGATGCCCGTTGATATTAAAATCCCAGGCATTTAACCAAGCACTAGCAAACCAAGACCTGACCTTAGTGTATAAGTTAGGATTAATATATGTGTTTATAAGAAATGAGTGACAATATACCGTAAAGTGTTCAGGGGAGAACCATAAGAAACAAAAATGTAAATTGAGGATTGGAAACTGTAGGCCTATGTGACGAGAAGCGGCGGGAAGCCGGCCTTAGTCTTTCCCGTTCTGCCGTCAACACAGGTCAGTGTCCTAGCGGGCTATATCCCGCCCTACAATTAAGGTTGATAAATAACAGTGACTACAGTTTAAAGCTTTGCCGGATATATAAGTGTGATAGGGATGTGTTAAGGGATGGGATAACCGCCCGTCAGGCATTATTGCTTAGTCTTTCCCGTTCTGCCGTCAACACAGGTGCCACGTGGTTGGGGTATCTTGCCGCCCGGCCGCCATTGTCTCCTGGAGCGCCACACCAGGTGGGGAATTACTCCCCACTATACCAGTCCACTATGAACCGGTGGATTCCCAGCGCACCACTCCACATGAATAGTCACAACTAAGGAGACCGTGAGAAACGGCGGTCGTCACTTGGAGCGACCTATAATACCAGGCGTAGAAATAGTGCTGGTATGTCTCTAGGTCAAGCCCTCGTCCTTACCCACCGAGGGCGGTGTGCGAACGAGGGGCCCGTTGTGTAGACCTAAAAGTCACAAGGAGTCACATACTTGCAGGTATGGAGTGTAACAGGTGTGTTGCGATGGTGCTACTATGTATGATTGTAACGAGCCGAGTTTTCTCTTTTCAATAATTTACCATCCAGTTATTCTTTTCAATGAGTATCCGGTTTTATATACTTATCCTTCTTCAGTTCCTAACACACATACTTACTTTATATATTCTTGCTTATATTCTTATATGTTCTTTATCTCTATATACCTTATATTCTTATATATTCTTATATAAGTAACTCTTATGCTTCTC